GGAGGGGGCGACCTGGCGCCCCTCAGGCTCGGCCTGCCCGCGGAGGGTCCAGCCCACCTCCGTGTCCGTGCACACAGCGGGCGCGGGGCAGGGCGTCCCGAGGTGGCTATTCCCGGAGGCTCCGTCCTCTCCCGCCGCCCTTGAATTACGGCTGCGCCGCTCAAAGACCTGGGCGGCTTTTCTGCATGATGGGGCGGGGAAGTCAAGAGAGGTCACACCTGCTGTCGGTGTGGCGGTCCGCCTCAGAGCCACCGGACAGTATGGACCAGTTTCACTTCGTTCACTTGCTGTACGTATGCCAGCCCGTGTCGAGGACAGCGGACAGCGGGGGAGCACGGGAAGGGTGGCTAGCGATGGACAGACAGCCCAGTCCCGAGCGGGGCCTAGAGAGGCTGTTTCTTACTGAGGCGCCTGGGCAGAGGGGAGTGTGGTTCCTGAGGAGGGGTCGTGGCAGAGGAAGCTGTACAGATTCAACAGTCGGATCCTGTGTGGGATCCGACCTCACACGGGGAGCAGGTGGGGAGCAAAGTCTCGTTGGACTCCGAGGAAGTTCCCTGGACCTGAGGGAGCAGAGCCGGGTGGAGCCTGCAGTAGGGGAGGTCCAGCAAGGGCACTCACTGGTCCTTGACGGAAGCCTGGTATGGGCTGCTGGGTGGAAGGGTGCCTGGCCCTGCCCAGGGTCTCAGGGGTGAGTGAGCAGCTCCCTGCAGAGTACACCCTGACCTGGCACTGCCCGTCTACAGCCCCGAGGCAGAGCGTGCCCGTCCCCGGCAGCCCCGGCCCACAGCCCCCATGGAGGGTGCGATGCAGCTGCTGAGCCGCGAGGGCCACACTGTATCCCACAACTCCAAGCGGCACTACCACGATGCCTTCGTGGCCATGAGCCGCATGCGGCAGCGGGGCCTCCTGTGTGACATCGTCCTGCACGTGGCCGCCAAGGAGATCCGGGCACACAAGGTGGTGCTGGCCTCCTGCAGCCCTTACTTCCACGCCATGTTCACAAGCAAGTACCGCCCCACCAGGTCTGGGCATCTGGGGGACTCTGCACTTTTCCGGGGTGGGGACCAGCCTGACCTGCTGTCCCCACAGATGAGATGAGTGAGAGCCGACAGACGCACGTGACACTGCATGACATCGACCCTCAGGCCTTGGACCAGCTGGTGCAGTTTGCTTACACGGCTGAGATCGTGGTGGGCGAAGGCAATGTGCAGGTGAGGCTACCCCCAACTCACGTCTCACACCTCCACCATACCTTGTGCCTCTGCTCTCCCCACACCCCCAGCATCCCTTCACTCCCTCACATCCCGTTTCTCTATCCCTGCTCCCTGGCCCTCTCTCTCACCTTGTCGCACAGACTCTGCTTCCAGCCGCCAGCCTCCTGCAGCTGAATGGCGTCCGTGACGCCTGCTGCAAGTTCCTGCTGAGTCAGCTCGACCCTTCCAACTGTCTGGGCATCCGGGGCTTCGCCGACACACACTCATGCAGCGACCTGCTCAAGGCGGCGCACAGGTACGTGCTGCAGCACTTCGTGGACGTGGCCAAGACTGAGGAGTTCATGCTGTTGCCGCTGAAGCAGGTAACGTACCGGCTGGGGCACAGCCTGGACCCTGACCCAATCTCTGGACCCCAGAACCAGCCCTGGTCGCCTGGCCCCTATCACCTGGGCCCTTAAGACCTAGTCCTTTGCCCTTCAACCTTTATCCCCAGACTCTGATATAAGTTCCAGCCCCACCACCCATCCCCTGTGCACCCCTCCCCACCCCATGCCCATTTTCTAACCTCACTCAAGCCTTCACTTTCTTCCCTGACTTCATCCTGTCCTGATCATATGCCTGTCTACAACCCCCACTGCCTGGTTCCATGTCCCTAGGATTGCCTTGGGACTAGGCCTCCAAGAACTGAATCTGTGGCTCCTGACCCTGTTTGGCCCCTCCTCATAGGAACACTGGGCCCCCGTTGGACTCTCCCTCCCAGGCACCTTCAGGGCTCCATGGGCCCCCAAGACCCTCCCCAGATCTCAGGTCTGAGGGTCCCCACCCCCAGGTGCTGGAACTGGTCTCTAGCGACAGTCTGAACGTGCCTTCAGAGGAGGATGTCTACCGTGCCGTCCTGAGCTGGGTCAAGCACGATGTGGATGCCCGGAGGCAGCACGTCCCTCGGGTGAGGCCAGGCCCTGGAGGGCCCAATGGTGCTTGGGAGGGAGCGCGGTGCCTGGCCTCTTCTGTATCCAGAGACACCGCAGGGGTGTTGCAAGCACGTGTCCCGAGGAAGATCTAGGGGGTCTGAGGGGGTCTTAGGGCTGGAGCCTGCTGCCTGACTGTTGCGTCCGCACCCCAGCTGATGAAGTGTGTACGCCTGCCCCTGCTGAGCCGGGACTTCCTGCTGGGCCACGTGGACGCCGAGAGCCTGGTGCGGCACCACCCGGACTGCAAGGACTTGCTCATCGAGGCTCTCAAGTTCCACCTGTTGCCCGAGCAGAGGGGCGTCCTGGGCACCAGCCGCACCCGGCCCCGGCGCTGTGAGGGTGCCGGCCCTGTGCTATTTGCCGTGGGTACGCCCACCTGTCCTGTCCTGTCCTGTCTCACCGTCCCCCCTATCCCTGCCGCACGTTCTCTACCCAGGAGCCCCGCACACGCCCACCCACCTTGTGCCGGTTACATTCTGCACTCACACCGTTCCCTGTGGTATGACCCACTCACCAATCCCCGTCCTCACCTACCCTTGGAGCCCCCAGACCCTTGACCTCAAGGTGTGCTAGTGCCCCCTAGCCCACGGCCTCCATGGGCCCTCGTCCTGCCCCGTCACACGCCCATCCCTAGGTGGTGGGAGCCTATTCGCCATCCACGGGGACTGTGAAGCATACGACACGCGCACAGACCGGTGGCATGTGGTGGCCTCCATGTCGACACGCCGGGCCCGGGTGGGTGTGGCCGCAGTCGGGAACCGGCTGTATGCCGTGGGCGGGTAAGAGTGGAGGCTGGTCTCGGGTCAGGGGCTTGGTGTGGGCCCACTGGGCCAGCCCTGACCAGCAGTGGACCCTTCCCCCAGTTACGATGGGACTTCAGACCTGGCCACCGTAGAGTCCTACGACCCTGTGACCAACACTTGGCAGCCTGAGGTGTCCATGGGCACGAGGCGCAGCTGCCTGGGTGTGGCTTCCCTGCACGGACTCCTATATGCAGCAGGTGGCTACGATGGGGCCTCTTGCCTCAACAGGTAGTAGCCGGGGTCAGGGCTGGGTGGACTTTCAGGGTTGGCTCAGCAGGTGTGGCTGCATCAGGACTGCAGAGGTCCTGCCTGAGGGGAGCCGAGAGGGACCCTGCCTCAGTCAAGTCACCAAGGTCCCCTATGCCTCTTCACCTGTGCCACCCCAGCGGCCCCTTTCCTCTTGGGTCCCTCCCAGCAGGGCAGGGGCTGGGCCCGGGGGAACCCTTGTCCAACATCATGCAGGCAGCCCATGGCTCATGCCTACCCAGCAGGCACCGCTTCCTGCTCCAGTGGGACTCTGGGGTTGGTCTCACTAACAGCCTAGCACAGAATTTTAGTTGTTCCTCAGGGGAGGGCAGGTCTTGGGGCCAGGACAGCCTTTCTGCCACTGCTCAAGGTCAGCGGCGGTCCTGGTGTCTGCAGTGCCGAGCGCTACGACCCCCTGACGGGAACATGGACTTCCATTGCCGCCATGAGCACCCGGAGGCGATATGTGCGCGTGGCCATGCTTGGTGGGTGACTGCTTCGCGTAGCGCCAGCCCAGGGGCCCCGCACACAGTGCAGGTGCACCATGGGTGCGTTGGCTCCTTGCAGATGGGAACCTGTATGCAGTGGGCGGTTACGACAGCTCTTCACACCTGGCTACCGTGGAGAAATATGAGCCCCAGGTGTGAAACGCCTCAGTCACATATCCCCGTTCCCTAGAGCTGCTTGAGGTCATCACTCTCTGGCCACGCCCACCCCCAGTTGGTCACACTCTGTCCTGTGTCCACTCTGTCCCACAGACATCCCGCCCTAGAGTAGAGGTCTGCACGTGGATGTGGAGGGAGGCTGGTGGTGAGTCTGTCTCCAGCCCGTGTCCCTCCCCGCAGGTGAACTCATGGACACCGGTAGCCTCCATGCTGAGCCGGCGCAGCTCTGCCGGCGTGGCGGTGCTGGAGGGGGCCCTCTACGTGGCTGGCGGCAATGACGGCACCAGCTGCCTCAACTCTGTGGAGAGATACAGCCCCAAGGCGGGCGCCTGGGAGAGTGTGGCCCCCATGAACATCCGAAGGTGCGTCACCACCACAGCGATGTGCATGGCCCACACTGACAGATGTGGCCCACAGACCCCTGCACAGCGTGCCCCCACCTCCTTCCATGTCTCCCCCTCCAGCGCCCCGCCCCCTCCCTCTCCCCCAGCCTCACCCCCAGCCTCACCCCACCCCGTCTGCCCTGCCCCCAGGAGCACGCACGACCTGGTGGCCATGGACGGCTGGCTGTACGCCGTGGGGGGCAACGACGGTAGTTCCAGCCTCAACTCCATCGAGAAGTACAACCCGAGGACCAATAAGTGGGTGGCCGCGTCCTGCATGTTCACGCGGCGCAGCAGCGTGGGCGTGGCGGTGCTCGAGCTACTCAACTTCCCGCCGCCCTCTTCACCCACGCTGTCTGTGTCGTCCACCAGCCTCTGACCCGAGGCGCTGCTGCACAGAGGTCCAACCACAGCCTCCCACGTGCCTTAAGCACCCCCTACCCCCTCAGGGCCCAGTGCCTCTCTCCCCTGCGTGTGGGAAGGGGCTCGGCCCCCAGGAGAGGCACCTCACATCCCACGCAGGCTGTCCAGGCTCTGCGTCGAGGCCTCCCGTGTCTCTGTTCCTTCCTCAGTGTTTGTGTGTGCGGTTTATTTATTTACTCGTTTATTTATTGATTGATGGTGAGCAGGCTGTAGCTACCAGTTTATACGTTTCCTCTTGAAGTGTTCTCTCTCTGGGACCAAGCTACCCTCCCAAGTGTCCCACCTGCTGGGAGCACTAGGGAGCAACAGGGTGGACACTGGCAGTGCCCGTCAGTAAGGGGCCAACTTGGACTCTGCAGACCTGGAAGGACAGAGGGGTGATGCAGAGCAGTAACTGGGGGAGCTTTCTGGGCAGGTGCGGACCCCCTAGCCTGTGCTCTGCAGACCACCTCCGCCTCACCCGGCCAGGCACGTTCCCAGGGAGGGCACGAATTGGGCTTCCTTCCCCGGGCCGTGGTGTCTTTTCTCCATCCTGCACTGGGCTGGGCACACGGCCACCGCCGCAGACCCCACACAGCAATATGAGCCACTTGTACAATAAACATGTTTCTTGGGCTCTGTGGGCCTGTGGCTGAACGTCCATCTCTGCCCTTCAGTGTCCTGTCTGGCGTGACCGGGAGGGCCCAGGGCAGCTGTGCAGCTGGGCTGAGGCACTGTGTTGGCACCAGGGGGCTTTGAGACGGCACCACCCCATCCAGTGGGGCAGGGCGGCGTGTCCCAGACGAGCACCCGACTGTGAGTGTGGTGTGCTGTCAGCCTGATCCTGAGAGGCCCCATGGCCTGTGTCACCTCAGACTGTGCACAGCATCCCCTTGACCTAACCATGGTGGTCCCAGGTACACCTGGGAGGGCCATGGCCTCCTTTCTGGATTCTGGTTAAGCCTCAGGGACCCTGACCTTGACCTGGGGGTGAGGGTTGGGCTGAGGCAGGAAAAGCTGCAGGAGGGTCCTGACTTCTCCTTCCCGTGTTGCAAACTCCTACTTGGGCAGCTGAGAGCAAGCATACGTCCCCTTCCAGTCACTGGTGACTCAGAGACTGGCATTTAGGTGGAAACAGGATGTGTGCTCACGTGAGGGGGTGTCTGAAAGGGGAGTCCCTGGGCTCACAGGGCTCCAGCTGTAGGGATACTCAGCCTGATGCAGCTACAAACCATGCCTTTGAGCCTCTCCTGTACAGACTGGGGGCCCTTCACGGGGCCTTTCCTCTCCCCCCTCCACCGTCCAGGCTGGCTGGCAGATGTGGAGGACCCTGGGCAGAGAACTGAAAGGCTCAGACTCAGGAAGGGGCTAGATCCCTCCCAGAAAGGCTCCGCCCTCCCCAGCCCTTGGGTGCAGGGCAAGCCAGCCTGGAGCCCCGCCCCGGGAGGTGGGGCAGGAGACTTGGGACCGAGGGACCCAGACCTGTCGACCTGCCCTACTCAGGCTAGTCACCACTGCTGCCCATGGGGAACAGCCACTGCATCCCTCAGGCCCCTAGGAGGCTCCGGGCCTCCTTTTCCAGAAAGCCCTCGCTGAAGAGAAATAGGTGAGGGGGGCAGGGTCCAGCCATGGCCACTCGGTCACAGGGTCTCCCTCAACCTGCCTCAGGGACCAGGCTGTGAGCCCCCACTTCCCTTGTCCCCAGAGAGGATGGTGTGCGGAAGCTGGCTGGCCTGTTTGGCACCGAGGCCAGCCCCGACGGGGACACCACCACCGACAAGATCTTCTGCTACATCCCTGGGACGGTGAGCGGCGGGGCGGGGCCGCGTGCCCGGCTCAGGGGGTGTGGCAGTGGTGGTCTGTGTATAACTCTGTGTGTGTGTGTGTGTGTGTGTGTCCTGTTAGCTCTGCACGGGGTCTTCCCTGTTGGCCCCAGAAGTCAGTCCAGTGCACGGCGAGGGAGTAGGGACAGCCCCGCCCTGGGGAGCTCATCGGCCGAAAGTCTGAGCAGACTGAAACTGAGACCTGGGACTGAGTCAGTGGGATGAGTGCCGGCCAGTCGGGGCGGGGCCACCGTGCAGAGCCCTGCCTGTGGGCCCTGGTGCCCGCCCCCGCCCGGGGCCTGGTGTGGGACCGCGAGTCCGGGCACACTGGGGCTGGCCAGCACGTGTATCCGTATTGCGGCTGCGTGGGGACCGGTGGTGCTGGTGACGACGTGGCTGGAAATGCCGCGCTGTCACTCAGAGGGTAAGGGGCCTCCGGTGGACAGTGAGCCAGCTTCTCACCAACTTTTGGCCCCAGTTTCTCCAAGGGGGTGGCTCCTCAGTGTCCATCGCTGCCTCATCCCATGGCAGCCCCTGTGCCACACAGCAAGGACATGGCTCCCGAGCACATGCTGGACACCTCTGAGTGGAACAACACCCCCACCCACCTGCCCAGCTCCTGTGGGGCAGACGGCTAGCCCAGGGGAGAGACATCCTGCCTTTAACCCAGCACAGCTGACAAGGGTTGGGGGAGGCTCTGCTATACGTGGGGTGTGAGGGAGATAATCGCCCGGTTTCCCACCCCAGGAACAATGTCTGTGACTGTACCAGGAGCACTGCCCTGCACTCCCTGGTCCTCACAGCAGCTGCTGCGGGCTCCAGGGCTACCTTTCCAAAGGTTCCCATCAGGCTGGGAAGCTGGGGCCTGCCCGTTCCTCCACTTCCTGAGGTCCCAGGGGTCCCTGCGGCCAAGTGCTGCCTTCAGAAACCAGGTTGCCTCAGAGAAGTGACCAGGGTACTTCTGTCAAGGCCTGGCCCAGGCCCCTCACATGGCCGCATCTCAGACCTCAACTCCCTCTGTCCAGGCCCAGGACACATTGTGTGGTGCTGCTGGTCCTCCCTTGCCAGGACTTGGTGGCTGCAGAGGGGACCGGGCATGATGAACCCCGGGAGGCGGGGCTGGGGGAGGAGCCAGCTCCCCTCGAACCTGGCCCCTTGGTGGGTTCTGCAGCCACACGTGAGCCAGCCTTGCCACAGGCCCAAGGCTGAGCCCAGCTGTGTGGCCCTTCCTGCTCCACGGCCTATTTTCACGGGTCTTCCCCAGCATGGTTCCCCAAACTGGGTGTGGGTGCAGGAGGCCCCACCCAGAGGCAGGGAGGCCGGGAAGCTGAGTCTGTCTGTTCACATTCCTAGGCTTGCCCAGAGGGTGGCCCAGCTTGGCCAGGGCACAGTAGCCCCTGCCAGCTCCCCAGTTCCCCCTGAGCCCCAGACCTCGGCCCCTCCAGCCCCAGTTCGGCACCCGTCCCTGTCTGACTCCTGTTCTGATGATCCAGCCCCTGTTTATAGAGGATTCTCTGTGTGCCGGGATCAGCTGGTGGTGAGCACTGACCCTCTTTCCCTTCAGCAGGCGGGCACTGAACCTCCAGCACATCCCAGGCCTGCCCTGACCCCTGGGAATACAGTGGTGGGCAAGACGGACACGGGTCCTGTTGTTGAATCGCCCCCACCCCGTGACAGAGCAGCAAATAAATGAAACACACAGTGAGTCAGATTGTAGCTGGTGCTGAGGAGAAGTGCAAAGGAGGAGCAGTGGGCGGGGGTCAGTGAAGGCTGGACTGTTAGAAGGGCGCCGACAGGACCTCACAGAGAAGGTGAGTCTGAGCCCAGTGCTGGCCGGGGTAAAAAGCTGCTAGGCTGAGTGGCCCAGGCAGAGGGGGCAGCAAGTGTGAAGCCAGACACCGGCATGTGCCTGACGTGAGGGAAGAGGCCCCCTCGGCCAGTGCCGGGACCTTCACCCGCCTCCACTGCCGGGGAGACTGTAGGCGACTGGAGCCACGCAGTAGTGCTGGTCGTGCACTGGAAACGGGCAGTGACGCGAGTCCTCACACCAGGGAAGTCGGCAAACACTACACATCAGCCCCCATTTCTGGTAGAACTGAGTTTTAAACCTTTGCCAGCGATGCTGGAGGTGTGGAAGGGTTTCGAGAGTCATCTCACCCGGACACCCGAATCCCCCTCTGACTAGTAAGTCTCGGAAGGCTGAAAAAGCAAAATAAGGGAACACAGCTTAGGAAGTAGTGAGGCTGACAAATCTCCGTTGAGTCCAAACTTCACTGACTCCACCACTAGATCATGGAATGTAATTCTGTGATTCTGTGACTAGCAGGAGGCTCTGCGTGGGTGTGTGTGTCTTTTGCACTCTTTTCACATGAAGAAACATGTGCATGTACAGGGTTTTGTACATACATGTGATGGTGTGTGTGTGTTCTTGACCTATGTGTTGTGTGACTGGACTGGGGCGGCTGGCCCCAGGTCAGGCCTCCTCCCCTGAGTTCTGCCCCAACCCCAGAACATCCCGGGCTTGGAGAGCCAGAGAGAAAACCTGGAACAGCCGTTCCTGAGTGTGTTCAAGGCGGGGCGACGGAGGGCAGCCATAAGGAGCCTGGGCAAGGTTGTGCACTACGCCAAGGTCCAGCTGCGTTTCCAGCACAGCCAGGTGGGGGCCGGGCCAGGAGGGGCATGCTTGGGAACCAACCTGGGGCCTGCCCCCACCCACCCTCACACCCTGGCCCTGCTCTCCCCTAGGACATCAGCGACTGCTACCTGGAGCTGTTCCCCTCCCACCTCTACTTCCAGGCCCATGGTTCCGAGGGACTCACTTTCCAGGTGAGGGGAAGTGGGCGGAGGGAGGAGCTGGGGAGAGGCAGGTGGCCCGGTCCTGCTGGGGGCCCCTAGCCCTTCCCTCCCGCTGTGCTCTGGCAGGGGCTGCTACCACTGATGGAGCTGAGTGTCTGCCCGCTGGAGGGGTCCAGAGAGCATGCCTTTCAGATCACAGGTGCGCAGAGTGGTGCTGCCTGTGCTGCCCGGCCCCTGGGGGGCGGGAGCTCTAAGGCTGCTCAGTGAACCTGGCCATTGACCAGGCCCCAGGACCTTGGTGGGACTCTAAGCATGTTGAAGGACCCCGGCGTTTCCTCAGATAGGCACACATGCATTGCTGGGCTGGGGGCGAGCAGCGGGTGCGGGGCCTCCAGAGCTGTGCATGAGGTCTTCAGGGGCCCCTCCTAACCCTTGAGGGGCCTTTCCTGTGGGCTGCTGGCCCAGCCCCCTCTGCCTCTCCCCACAGGCCCCCTGCCTGCCCCCCTTCATGTGCTCTGCCCCAGCCAGGCCGAGCTGGGCCGCTGGCTCTACCACCTGGAGAAGCAGATCGCTCTCGTGGGAGGGCTGCCACGCTGCCAGCCAGTGCCACAGGTCAGTGCTGGGAGCCCCACTACCCCTTCCTACCCCACCCTCCTCCACCTGCCCCACACCTCCTTCTGCCAGGGCCCCCCGGAGGACGAGCCCCCCTGGGCTCTGCAGCGCAGGTTGACCCAGCTGCGGGCTGCGTCTGGGCACCAGGCAGCGGGCAGTGCCGTCTGTGCCTCGAGGGTCAAGCTGCAGCATCTGCCCTCACAAGTGAGTGGGGGCACAGAGATGGGAGGCGATGGGGGAGGGGCGCGCGCTGGGGGAGACCCTACCCTGCCGTTTGACCTCCTCACAGGAGCAGTGGGACCGGCTCCTGGTCCTGTACCCGACCTCCCTGGCCATTTTCTCTGAGGAAGCAGATGTGCTTTGCTTTAAGGTGGGTCTCTCCCACTGTGGACCCGCCCCGGGGAGGTGCACTGCGCGTGGGGGTGGGAGGGGGCCGCGGCTCAGGAGGAACCTGTATTTCGGGGCCTGTTGGGACAGAGAGCACCGGCCCCACCCATCCAGCCCGCTGCCCTGGTCAATCTGGTCTCAGCCTGATGTGAGCAAGTCGGGGCCCCTGCCTTGGCACCCCATAACATCCTAGAGGGTCCTCAGCCACCAGCGGACCCGTCACCTGGGGTGGGTGGCATGGGGGCCTCCAGTGCCCCTAAAAGGGGCCTGTACCTCTGAGCAGGCGTCTTTCTGGTGCCTGAGGGGCATGCGTGTGCGTGGGCATGGTGTGAGCGTCCTTTGGGGCTGGAGTTTCTGTCACGTGCATCACGGTACCTCCTAGCCCGGGGGTGATTGTAGCCTTCAGTCACTGAGAAACACATATGGGGGCTTCCTCGTGGTCCCTTCCCACCCACCCCTATCTTCGTATATGACCCAGGGGACCAGTCCCCGTAAGCATCTGTGTCTGTCAGCTGTTGGTGGCGACTGGGGGTGAAGATACCCCCCAGGACAGACAGGGAGTGCCCAGCCTCCCTCAGGATGTCAGCCTTGGTCTTGCCTTGTTCTCTGCCTGGCGTCTGGAAAGCAAGACGGTGCAGTGGGCACAGGCAGAGCCCCAGGGGTTGCTTCCCTGGCTAAGGCCCAGTCCCTGCTCCATGCCCCGCAGGGGGAGCTCCCGCTCAGTGCCATCCACGTCAACCTGGAGGAGAGGGGGAAGCAGATCCGCTCTTTCCTGATCGAAGGTGGGGGCCAGGCCGTGAGGGAGGGTGAGAGCCTGCTGGGTGCCTGGCTGTGCACTGGGGCCTTGCAGGAGGCCCTGCCCGCCAGGCCCCTGACGGCGTCTGTGCACCAGGCCGTCTCATCAACGCCATCCGTGTGGTCTGCGCCAGCTACGAGGATTACAGCCGCTGGCTGCTCTGCCTGCAGACGGTCTGCCGCAGGGGTGGGACCGCCCCAGGCCTGCGGGTGCCTGCACAGGTGAGGGGTCAGGTGGGGGTGGTGAAAACAGGAGGGTGGGTCTAGGCTTGGGTAGGTGGGGAGAGAGGGCCTGCCGTCTGGCTCATCCCTACCCTACCCTGCTGCCCAGGTTGTGGGCAGTGACCGAGGCTCACTCTCCTCCGATGGGCAGGCCAGCTGGGACTCGGGGTGCCTGGCAGCCCCCTCCACTCATGCCAGCCACGCCCTCCCTGGGTCAGTGCCGTCCACTGAAGGCTGCCCTGCCCAGCCTGCACCGGTGAGTGTCTGGGAGCAATGGGCAGAGAAAGAGGGTAAGGGACCATGGGGTAACTTTATGTTGGGGCCCATCCCAAGTAGGACCCTAGTTCCTCAGGGGAGACTAGACGGGGCTCCATGGAGCCTCAGAGGGTTTTGTGGGAGAGGGCCCCGGGGAACATCCTGGAAGGTCCTTGGTCCCCACAGGAGCAAGCCAACTCAGGCTGCACCAGCGCCAGCGGGCAGAGGGCAAAGCTGAGACGGAACAGTGGCAGCCGATCACCCAGGAGCAAGGCCCGGGGCAAGGGGCCCAGCCCTGCCGTCCCGCTGCATCTGGACCTGACCAAGGTGAGCCCAGGGCGCTGACCCCGGCTCCAGGCCTGGATCCCCTCCTGCCCCCCACCTCCCCGGCCTCTCTTGGTCCTGGAGCCTCCCAGAGGCCTCTTGCACAGAGAAGGGAGGGCTGGGCCACTTCCAGCTCCAGGAAACCTGTCTCTTCTGCGTTTTGCCTGTAGCTGAGCCTGGGGGAAAGCCCTGAGGCCCCAGACCACTCTCTGGAGAAACCACACTCCCCCCTCTACGCTGATCCTTACACACCGCCTGCCACTTCCCACCACAAGATCACAGACGTCCGGGGCCTAGATGAGGTCAGTCCCTGCTGGGTGACAGGAAAAGCTGATGTG